AGCCCGCTCAGAGATGTGTATAAGAGACAGGATTAATATACATCAATACTTATTATACTTTCTTACATATATTTAATGTAAAACAATTTTTAATCAATTTTAATAAAGTCGGTTTTTTCTTATCTGATTTCAGAAAGAATCAGTTATATACCACAATAAAATAAAAATTTTTGTATTATAATGTGTTGGGACGGGATCTCGCAGAGAATTTACACTGGGATATTATGAACGTGTGCTTTATTGTAGTACTAATGGTGAGGAAGTATAAAGACGACGGAAACGCCGGAAACGAACGTACATCGAAAATCGATGCGGATCGATATAGAATCGATAGAATCGATAACAGATTATTATGGCTTTTCAATATGGCTCCTAAGTAGCGCGAAACCGAATCTTATTTTTCACTATGCCAACACGCCCCCTTGAAAAATACATTTTACGCTCTTAAAGGAAACAAAAAAAACTTTATCAATATATCTATCTAAACGTAAATACACTAAATTAATATTTCATTGTAATATCTTTGGTAACATATTCGTAAGACTTGTATAATACTTATGCTTATTTAAGTCCAATCTTGTCTCGCAATTTACATAGTTTCGTACTTGCTAACGGTTTCGTAAACATGTCTGCTAACATATCTTCTGATGGAAGATACTCAATGTTAACAATCTTCTTTTCTATTTTCTCTCTTACAAAATAATGCCTGACATCTATGTGTTTAGTTCTTTGGCTAGTTACCTGATTTTTCGCTGAACATATATTGCTTCATTACTGTCACATTTCAATGTTATCGTATCGCTAATACTTTTTCTCTCTATTTCCTTTTTAAATTCCCGAAGCCAAATTGCTTCTTGACATTCAAAAGATAAAGCAACATATTCTGCTTCAACAGTAGATAATCCTACTGTTCTTTGTTTTTTACTGAACTAAGAAATAGCCGCTCCTGATAACATAAAAGTACACCCCGTAATAGATTTTCTATCAGCAGGGTCATTTGCCCAATCTGCATCGCTATAGCTATCTTTGCATCTGAATTTCCATTGAAAGTTAGTTTTAAATCTATAGTTCCCTTTATGTACCTCATTATACGCTTTACCGCTTGCCAATGCTGCCATTTAGGATCTTTACAGAAAGAACTAACCGTGTTAACCGCGTATGCTAAGTCCGGTCTAGAAATTTGACTAATATACAGGGTGATTCAGAACAACCCCTCGTCCTTGAAAAGACGTATTCTTGACTCAATTCTAAGACGATTTTTCCTTTACAAAAATTTTGTCCGAAGCTAGTTTTCAAATTATAACGAGAAATAGTTAGCAAATTACGGGCCGCGTACGGATGGTAGACAGGGGCGGCGCAACTTACT